ACTATACAGCGCCTAAAAGACGTATTGTTCATATGAACTTTACAAATTTATTTGCTTTGAAGATAATACCGCTATGTAAGAAGTTGTTATCCAGTGAGAAAAAAGAGGCGCCATCCGGGTGAGGGTGAGGGCGATTATATGTAGCTAAATGATTATGATCTGATTCCGATTTTGCAACTATGATCATTCAGATGCAGCATCGAAATTGTTGCTGTAATAGCCTCAGAACTGATTGACTGAAATATATAATTAATTAATTCAAAAATTGCTTGAAAACTACAAACCATACTCAGTTTTACAAACTGAATACGGCTTTAGATCAAGAATTAAGAATCAGATTTTGCATATGAAATTCTGTTTAAAATCATGTGCACAATCAACCAATTTTGGAAGTTTTTTTTTCTCACTCGCTTTTCAATTTCTACATCAGATAATGATATTCAGCGGAAACATCCATGTTTACTATATTTAAAAAAACAGATTACTTAGTACAATTATTCTATCTACCTCTTATGTATCAGGCAGGTATCTGAAGGCTAACTTGGCAGAAGAAAAATGTGATGTGGAAAGTTAGAGCTTGATACTACAGTGCCTTCCAAAGAGTTAGCTTGACGAAAGAAAATTTTCAGTATGATAATTTTGACGAACGATAGATCATGTACTTATTGCGTTTGTTGTTGTTGTTGTTGTTGTAAGTTTTTTGTCAATCTTAAGCAAAATTGTTTTAATTGATTGTAATTGTTGGTCTAGTGCCTGTTTATTATTCATAAGACTAGAAATAGCTGTGTGACTATCGTCAGCGTTAGCTAACTGTTGTTGTTGATGTTTAATACGATTCTTCATCTTGATCGATGCTAAAAGTTTTCGATTAGATTTGATGTGCGATAGAGACGGATGAACTGCTTTCAAAATCCATGTTTTCAAACCATGTTTGATTATATTCGATGACTGATGTTTAAGTTCTTTATTTAATTGTATTTGTTCCACAAATTTAATGAAATAATTTTCGGTAGTAGTAAACTGTAGGTTGTTTGTTATAACACCAATAATAAATGCTGATATCAAAATACCTTGTGAGCCAATTAAAACGACCATTACACGAGAACAGTTTGTCGTCGGTGTTATATCACCGTAGCCAATTGTAGTAAATGTAATTATATACAAATATATGGAATCAGTAAATGCTTTGTGCATATTAGTAACTGGTGAATACTCACAAGCACGAATACACCAGCTGAATATAAGTACTGAGAGAGATGTTATTATCACCAATAATATTTCAGGATGTTTGTATAAGTAATACTTGCCGATCAATTTTAAATTAATCTGAAGCCGATTTAAATATCCATACGACTGAAGAGCAGCGTTTTGAACAAGATGACTATGTAGAAACAGACATCTAGCAAATAAATAGCATCTCAGAAACATCGGGAATGA